ACCAAGTCAACTCTTTGATTCTTGAGTGAATCAAAAACCTCTTCAGGGGACTTCTTAAGGTGATGCACAAGTCTCTTGAAAGTTTCTTCAATGTCGGATTCAGTTGTTGCATTAGCTTCATTAGCAAAGTCACCCTTCTTCAGCTTGATCCTACGTTTGGACCTCTTCTGCCAGATTTGCTATGTTAAGCATGTGACAGAAAGCTTTTGCGATGACAAAGGATTCTCCTGTATCTAAGCTTGTGAGCACACTTCCAAGTTCCTCAAGCTTCTTTGGGTCACACTTTCCTTTATACTCGACAAAAAGCTCATATCATTCTTGAACCTAAACAAACAAACACATTAATCAGTTTCATGCAACCAAAGGATCCGATAACCAATGGACTAATTCCAATGTGACATTTAGTCGAACGGTTTCTAGGCCTAATGCATATAAGATACCGAAATCGGGATTCTCGTTTAGGTTGTTTTGGCTATAAACGATCCGATATGATATTCGATTTCCGGGTTGTACATTGTTAAGTTGAAACTTCGTAAAAGCATAACTTCCTCATACGAATTCAAATTTGGGCGTTCATTTTATGTACGCTCTTGGTTTAACGAACACTATCACTTTTGTTTAGATCGCTAAGGCTAAAAATCACTCTATCGTAAATTCACTATTTACGTCGAGCAGTGTCGTGCAGGTTCCGTCGCGAAACTTCGACGGGCCATAACTTCTTCGTTATAACTTGGATTTCAGCATTCTTTATGTGTATGTAACCCTTGTAACATATAATATAACTTGGTTAAGGTTAATCCTTCTAAATAATCTTCCATCAAAAACTCATTTTTGATGCTCATTGTCTCTAACTTGACTAACTCGGATCTACGATCATTAGATAAAGTTTCCATATTTACCCTCTATAACTACTCCAAATGCTCTAAGGTCCTTATCCAAGGTTGTCCAACTCAAAAGTCTTGCCATGCATTCCCAAAACCTTATGGATATGGAATCCCTCATTTCCAGAGGAGTTTTTAGTCCTCAGAACGTTCCAAAGATGGTGGCTTTATGGACATGCATGTCCAATGCATGTCATTAGGTAAAAATTTCCCAAAAAGGGGAAAAATATGCTCTAAAAATCTTGCATGGCATCCTTGCTTGATCAAAAGCAAGATCTAGCCCACCTTGGGACTATTTTGCCCTGGAAATCCATAAAGTTGCAAAGTTTATGAACCCCATGCATGAAATCAATATGAATGAAAGAAAATGGAGATTAAACTCAAGATGTAGCCATGTCCTAAGATAAAAATCAAATCTTGGAGACTTACCATAGTTGACAAGATGGTCAAGCTCAAGAATGAGAGCTTAGTTTGCTCCATCTTCTTCTTCTTCTCACTATCTCCTCCTTTTAAACTTCACAAGACACTCTAGCTCACAAAACGAAAGAGAATGGAGATTAGAGTTTAGCACAGACGTTCCTAGGGTTTGGAGGCTAATAGAAGGTTAGCCTCAACGTTCTTAAGGAGATTATATAGGGTGTAAACCTGAAATTAGGGTTTTCTCTCTTCAGCTCCTACTTGCCAAGTCGATACTTGTAACGCCTGTGTTTCTGGGCTTGCCATTTTTAGCAATATAATAGTCTAGGTTAACCTTTGTAGCCCGTTTTGAAATAATAGAAGTGTATTATTTGAGTATTATGTGTTTTGTGTTTAATTGCTTAATTATGTGGTTTGATTAATTAAGAATAAAAATAAGCGTCAAAATTTAAGTGTAAAATAAACTTGATATCTTTAGATAATTTTGTAGTAGTTGAAACAAGGTTTCCGAAGATATATAGAATGCCAAAATCCGAGTTATAACGAGGAAGTTATGACCTGTCGAAGTTTCGCGACAGAACCGGCAACGCTGATTAACGTAAAAAGTGAAATTTACGTTAGAGCGATGTTTAGCCTTAGTGATCTAAACGAGAATCGAATATCTCGTTGTTAGTATCAAAGCGATAAAAAGTTAGGCGAGAACGGACGTCAAACGAAGAAGTTATGAATTTATAACGAAATTTTCTGTCCCGGCCTATTAAAAATAAATAATAAAAATAAATTCAAAATTAGCCGACGAAGTCTAAACGAAAGTTGTAAAGCGTAGTCTCACCTTCGCGTGGATATAAAGAACGTCGAAAACGGAATTCTTATGAAGAAGATATGAATTTCCGAAGTTTATTAAATAATTTATATTTAATTTTAATTTGGAAAATCCGGCCTTATCCGAAGGCGAGTCACCGGACTCATCCGGAGTACGCCCCGTGTACAGCGAAGATGTCGACATTCGCACTCGAGGATTTCGGATGACGCATGCGCTTACGATTTCGGAGCAGTACGCCCCGCGTACGAGGAGAGTTTGGCGTATAGTTTTTCTGATCGTAGAGTTTCTAAGACTTGTCGGAGATGTTGGCCATGATCTTCCTTGTTTCGAGAGTAGACAAGGATGTCATCGATAAAAACAATGACAAAGTTGTCGAGAAACGGTCGGCAGATTCGATTCATTAGGTCCATAAATGCGGCGGGGGCATTCGTTAGACCGAAGGGCATTACGACAAATTCATAATGTCCGTAACGAGTTCGGAAAGCGGTTTTTGGAATATCCTCTTCCCGGACTTTGAGTTGGTGATACCCGGACCGTAAATCTATTTTAGAAAAATAACTAGCCCCTTGGAGCTGGTCAAATAGGTCATCGATTCGTGGGAGTGGGTAGCGGTTTTTGATTGTGAGTTTGTTTAACTCTCTGTAATCGATACACATTCTAAAAGATCCGTCTTTCTTTTTGACAAAGAGCACCGGAGCTCCCCATGGCGAGTAACTAGGTCGAATAAATCCCTTATCCAAAAGTTCGCTGAGTTGGCTGGATAATTCCTGCATCTCGGCAGGAGCCAACCGATAGGGTGATTTAGCAAGAGGAGTTGTTCCTGGGATAAGGTCAATTCGAAATTCGACCTGTCTTTCTGGGGGCACTCCCGGAAGATCTTCAGGAAATACATCCGGAAATTCACATGCTACTGGAATATCTTGAACGTTAGTTTCCTCCTTGGTTTGTCCACCACATGAGCCAGGAACGCCAGATTGTTCCTTCGTAGATATTTTTGTGCCTTGACACGAAACGAGGCGAAGGTTCATGCTAGATTTGTCTCCGTAGACCACTAGGGTTTCGTGATTTGGAAGACGAAGACGGACGGCCTTCTCGTGGCACATAATGTCGGCATGGTGGGGGCTTAACCAGTCCATACCGATGATCACGTCGAAACTCCTAATTGATACTGGCATTAGGTCTATTCGGAAGACGTGTTGATTAAGAGTTAGGGTACATCCGATGTAGATTTCCCCAGTGGATTCGGTTTTCCCATTGGCCATTTCCACCGTATAGGCTTCATTTAGCTTTTGGGGAGGTTGTTTTAATAAGTGTTTAAACTTATTGCTTACGAAGCTTCGCTCCGCTCCGGAGTCAAATAAGATGCATGCATAAGCGTGGTTTAAGAGAAACGTACCGGTAACAACAGAGGGATCCTGAATAGCTTCCCCCTGACCCACGGTCATCATCCTTCCTGTTCCTCCATTTCTTGAATTGTTGTTGTTGGGACAGTCTCGGCGGACGTGTCCAGTCTTCCCGCATCCGTAGCAGGTGTAGCTAGGCCCTGCGCTGTTGCCGCTGACATGGGTGTTGTTGTTGTTGCGAGGGTTGTTGTTGTTGATTCCCTGATTTTGGTTATGGGGAGGGTAAGCTTTGCAGTACTTGCAGTGTGACCCCTTCGGTTGCAGTTGGTACACTGAAAATCCTTGCATTCTCCATAATGATGGAAACCGCACTTGTTGCATTTGGGAAGATTACCGGAATAAGGTTTGGAAGTATTTGAAGTGGCTGAGGTTGGAGCATGTGGTGCGGCTGGAGCCGATGTAGTAACGGCATTTACCGCTACTGTCTGCTGTTTCTTGAAGGTGTCGGGGCCCTGGCGCCCCTTCCTCTTATTGTTCTTCCCCTCTTGTCATCTCCTTCCTTCTTCTTCTCAGCCTCCACTGGCTTTTCTCCCTTTTTGTTATTATGGTCGTACAACCTCTTCGCCAGTCTCTTTGCACTGTCAAATGTTTCGGGGTTTGCAGCTATCACATTCCCTTGAATTGGTGATGTGAGTCCCCAGATGAATCGTTCGATCTTCTTTCCTTCCGAGGTGATCATACCCGGGCACAACAGAGATAGTTCGCTAAATCTCGATATGTAGGCATCGATATTCGCGTTCTGCACAGTGAGGTTCCATAGCTCTTGTTCCATCTTCTGTATTTCGCCTCGTGGGCAGTACTCTGCCATCAACATTTCTTTCATTTCTGTCCAGGGAATAGAGTTGGCTACAGGGAGCGTCATGGATTCGACATGTCCATTCCACCAGGTGAGCGCCTGATCCACAAAAGTGCAAGCTGCGAACTTCACCTTCATGTGCTCAGGGCAGTCGCATATCTCGAATATCGATTCCACCTTCTCGATCCAGCGCTTCAGAGTAATCACTCCTCCGGTGCCATTAAAAGTTCGTGGTTTGGCGTTTGTGAAGTCCTTATAGGTACACGTCTTGGTGGATCCTTGGTTCGTTCCATTGTTTGAACTTCCGGCTCCTTGCCCATTGACTCCTCCATTGTTCCTTGTTGAATTTGCGCAATCGCTGCAGTGACTGCTGCTGATACAGCTGCCTGAAAGGCGGCTGAGTCAACTTCGGGTGGGGTTGGTCCTGGGTTTCCGCGAGTAGTTGGGCGAGGCATCTTTCTGTCATGAAACGGAAAGATGTTGAGTGTACGTGGTTTCTGTGAGGTTGCGACCCTACTAACTAGGTGTATGACGCGAACCTAAACATTTCTACCATCGGCACACAATCATAACGTCTCAACACATAACAACTGTGAATATCGTAGCAAAGCACACAAAAGTTTATTAATATTATCCGCGTTTAGTACAAGAAAATTTGCTCGTAAGAGCATACATAAGTAACACTAATCCGACAGCATAACGGCTCCATGAGTAGTGTAGTCACTTAAACATAGAGCCGGAGTACATAACATAGTTCCTAATGATCTACTATGATGAGTCTATCCCGAACCGCGATGAGCTGCGTCCGGAGGTGGTGCTGAGGATGTGGATGCTCCCTGAAGACGAGCCACCAAGCGTTCCGCATCCCGGAGTCGAGACTCCCACCGAACCTGCCTCATGTGAAACTCTCGAAGGACGTCACGCGTCTCCTGCTCCGCACGCTCGACCCTAGTCCTCAACTGGTGTACCTGATCCGCAGTGTCCTGGGCAAGATCGCCCGTATTCCGTAACCGTTTCACCATGACTGGAAGGGCTCGATCAGCCGGTCCTCCATCTCTCAGGTCAAAGAACTCGCGTGACATGCCGTACGGGGGTCGCTGTCCCTGCTGTCTGCTCCATCTCCAAAGGTCAATACCCCAGGGAGGTGTAGGGCCAGTGGGGCCCACTCGATATGCAGGCACCCGGATCGGGTAAGGGGGGTTGATGACTTCGGACTCCGCATCCGAATCACCCCTGTCACTATCATCGGCATCCTCTTCAAGGTTTCCTTCATCCTCCTCTGATTCTGCAGGCTCGCCCTCAACTTCGGCCTCCGGTTCCCCGTCAGATTCCTCTTCGGGGTCTTCCTCAGGCTCCTCCTCAGGTTCCTCCTCAGGCTCCTCCTCGGACTCCTCCTCTAACCATCCGTTGTTCCCCTGGTTAGGGAAGTAAGGGTCTCCAGGGTGATGAAAGCCAGCCATGCGGTCTGCGAGAGTGTGTGATTATGCTAGCGTCATTCCTAGGGTGCTAAAATTTTCACACAGATCAAGTAGGCGTTCTCGTTTTTGTGGTAGATGGGTATAATTTTGGGTTCCCTAGCTATCCCGACCTCATTGAGACGTGTATTAGTTTTACTTTGGAGAGAATGTAGTTGATCAGGCTACATTCACTCCTTGGTATCACTAAGAACAGTCCCAATTTAACCGAGATACCAGCATTATTGTGTTTGATTCGGCGTTATGTTCTTATTCCTAATACAAGCAAGCGTATTTTATTTACTTGTTTTGTTCAGAGTTATGTTAGTCCCTCTTTTTGGTTTATAGTTGCATATCCGTGTGTGGCGAGATATGCTAGTTCACTATAAACAATGCTCTGATACCAACCTGTCACACCCCCGAACCAGACGGCGGAAACGTCCGGGGGCTATCGTGACTCATTGAATACCATTACAATGCATATACATGAAACATAACATAAAACATCACCAACATTTGGAATAGTACAACCGTTAGTGTTTACATTCGTTACATTGTTCAAACGTTACATTCTCAAAATAACTGTT